TATTTTGTGTTGTCATTAATTGATTTTACAACATTTTACTGTAAAAAATATTTTAATATTTAAACATTTCATCTTGAAATATTCATTAATTTTACACCATTTTACATTTTGATGACAAAAACTAATTTTAAATCATTTTAAACATTATTTTGTCAGGTAATTTTTGTTCATTTTAGACTTTAGATGTTGTATTTTTTTATTTTATTGTAAAAACTGACATAATATTTTAATAATATTTAAACATTTTGTGATGTCATAGTCAGCAATTTACAGCATTTTACTGACAAATATATTTCATATTCATTGGCTTTACACCATTTTAAGTTTTACTGACAAAATTTACATTGTCTGTTTACAATATTTAACATTATCATCATGTCATATTCATTCATTTAACATTTTACTGACAAAAATGATTTAATTGTTTAATATTAAATAAAAAAAATTAACAAACATTTATTAAATAACATACAGTATGTCAAACTAATAAATGTATCAACAATATTACATCTTGCTGGGTTATTTTGTCTGCAATTTTTTTATTAAATTAATTTAATTATTAATCATACTGCATATTTTTAATCTCATCTTCGTCAATATATTGTAAGTTAAATAGTTAGTTCAATTAAATTAAAGGTCAAATTACAATATGGCAATACTTTTTATCCGTGAATCATAATAATTTTTCAATTCTCGGTCTTCCTCAACGCTTCCCTGTTTCTCTGCAGTTTGACGGCACCATCCTCCTGATCACTCTGCTGGTGCTGTTTCTATTGCTGGCTCTGCTGTTTATGTGGTGGTTCTGGCCGCTTTGCTGCACTGTAGTAAGTCATCGCCTCATTTACTGTAAACATCAGTCTTCATACGTTCTCACAACATATCTTCCAGTACTGTGTTATTCTGGGAGCCAAAGGCCTATGGATTTGCGGTAAAGACTGAGGTTGAGTGATTTAAGGTGGAAAACTGGTCAATTTGTCTCCAGCGAGGTCATGATTTAACATGCCGTTCTGTTTTATGTGTATAATGTGACTTGTGTTTGTGGTTATGTGATTATTTGACATGTCTTTCCACAGGTGATCAAGGAACCTCCACCTCCTCCACCTCCAGAGCCAGTAAGTTACAGCTTTATCTGCTCCTATCCAAGTTTGTCCAAAATCTGATTAGATGATCTTTGGACCGAGCCACACAGAAATGACTGAACGGAGTTTTGATATTTGCTTCCATTCCCAAGAAATGCCTCTCCAAAGTAGACCGCGTCTGTGTTTGTTGACGTGTGCTAGTTAGCTTAGCATGCTAGTTGGTTAACAATCTAACCAATCATGATGCCGTCCAATGTTGCTCTTGA